TTTCCCCTTGCTGCTTTTAATATTCTCTCTTTATGTTTAATTTTTGCTATTTTAATTACAATGTGTCTTGGTGTGTTCCTCTTTGGGTAAATCCTGTATGGGTCTCTCTGTGCTTCCTGGACTTGGATATCTGTTTCCTTTCCCAGGTTAGGGAAGTTTTTCAGCTGCTACATCTTCAAGTATGTTCTCAGCCCCTTTATCTCTTTCTTCTCCTTCTGGGACCCCTATAATGTGAATATTAGTGTGCTTTATGTTTTCCCAGAGGTCTCTTAAACTGTCCTCATTTCTTTTCATTATTTTTTTCTGTTCAGCATCAGTGATTTTCACTACTCTGTCTTCCAGGTTGCTGATTTGTTCCTTTGTATTGTTGATGCCTTCTAGTGCATTTTTCATTTCAGTTATTATATTCTTAATTTCTGGTTCTTTACAGTTTATAACTCTTTGTTAAAAACTTCTAACTTCTCACACTGTGCATCCATTCTTCTCCCGTGTTTTTTGACCATCTTACCTATCACTACCCGGAACTCTTTCTTGGGTAGATTGCCTATCTCCACTTCACTTAGTTCTTCTGGGATTTTATCTTGTTCCTTCATTTGGAACATGTTCCTCTGTCACCTCATTTTGCCTAGGTTACTGTTTTTATTTTTATGTGTCTGGTAGATTGGTTGTTTCCTGACCTTAGAGAACTGGCCTTTTGTAGGAAATATCCTGTGCATCCCATCAGCACACTCCCCTCTTGTCACCCGAGCTATAGGTTCCCTCTTATGAGGGCTGTTGGGTCCTTCTGTTGTGGCAGGCTGACTATGTAGGCAGGCCGGTAGGCTTGGTTGGCCCCTGGTCTGGTTTGTTGCCAGGCCCTGCCTTGTATGGAGGCTGCCAGCCACTGGTTGGTAGGACCAGATCATGAGGTGGCTGACTGCAGAACCCTGTGTGTAGGGGTGGTCCTGGGGCTAGTGCTGACTCACTGGTAGGAGGAGTCGGGTCCAGAAGACTTTGGGGCTGTTGCTACCCACTGGTGGGTGAAGCCAGGTCCTGGAGCTAATGCCAGTCTACTGGCAGGCAGAGTTGGCTCCTGCAATCTGGTTGCATGGCCTGGGGTTGGGGTGGGGGGGTCTCAGAGCTGGTGTCAGATTGCTGGTGGGTGGGGCTGGTTCCTGACACAGCTGGATGCAGGGTCTGGGGCATCTTGAAACTTTTATTGGCCTGCTAGCGGGCAGGGCCAGGGCTCAGCTGGTCCCAGTGCAGGGTCCGATCTCCTGGTAGGCAGGCTGGGTCCACAGGCTGTGGAGCTGTGGTTTTCTCGTGACTGGTGTCTGCTCGCCGGTGGGTGAGGATGGTCTAGAGGCTAGAGCAGGCTCGCTGGAGACTGGAGCCAGGCCCAGGGGAGTATGGGGCCAGTGCCCGCCCACTGGTGGGTGGAGCTATGTCCTGGGCCCTCTGGTAGGCAGGGCTGTGTCCAGTAGCGGCTGGGGGCTCAGGAGGTAGTAAGGCAGCCTGTCTGCTGGTAGGTAGGGCCGTGGGCCCATGCAGTTAGTTACTTGGCCTAAGGCATCCCCGCACTTGCCCCTGTAGGCTGTGGGGCCAGGGCAGGGCTGGGTCCTGGGACTCATAAGCTAGAGAAAGGGTTCCGTACTGGTGCTTGCCAGCGCCAGTGTCCACAAGGTAGAGCAAGCTCCTAAAAATGGCTCCGAGTGTCTGTGTCTCCAGGATGAGCTGCAGTCGCCTCCTGCCTCTCTGGGAGACTGTCCAAGATCAGCAGGTAGGTTTGACCCAGGCTCCTATTAAATTACAGCTTCTGGGAATTCCCTGGTGGTCTAGTGGTTAGGACTCTGCACTCTCACTGCCAAGAGCCCAGGTTTGATCCCTGGTTGGGGAATTCAAATCCCACAAGCCGTGCAACGCGGCCAATAAAAATAAAAAAAACATTTCAGCTTCTGCTCTAGGTCCCGGTGTGCATGAGATTTTGTGTGTGCCTTTGAAGATTGAAGTCTCTATTTCCCCCAGTCCTCTGGCACTCCCGAGAGCATACAGTTTTTGTTTTCTTGTGATGAGAACTTTTAATACCCACTTCCTCAGCAACTGTCAAGTATACAGTACAGTATTGTCAACTATAGTCACTATGCTGTACATTACAATTCCCGTGATTTTTTCATCTTATAACTGGAAGTCTGTACCTTCTGACCACCTTCAGTCATCTCTCCCACCCCTCCCCCACCTCTGGCAACCACCAATCTGTTCTTTGTTTCTATGAGTGCAATTTCTTTAGAGTCCACATATCAGTGAGATCATATAGTAGTAAATACCCCGAATAAATAATAATAGCTAATATTTATTGAGCTCTTACAATTTTCCAGGACGTTGTGTGGACTTCATTGTTACCACCATTTTAAGATGAGAAAGCTGAGTTATGGAGAGGTTACCTTAACCAAGATCACATAAATAGTAGTGGCTCAGATGCAGCGCTATCCAGGGCCTGTATTTTTTCTAAAAGAATAGCATAGGATACAGTAAATTTATAATGCAAGTTGTTTATATTGTCAACTGAAAAAAAGAAAGCACAACCTAAAAGTTGAGACTTATGTTTTATTTGGCAGACTGAGGACTTAAGCCTGGGATACAGCCTCTCAGATAGCTCTCAGGGTCTGTTTCAAAGAGGTAAGGGAGGAGCTAGGATATATAGGAGTTTCTGCAAAAAACAAAACAACAACAACAAATCAGGTAGTCAAACATCAAAAAATTACTGCTAATTAAAGAAAAACCAGACATCTCCTTGAGTGCGTTTCTATGTACGGGAGGATGCAAGAGTCTGGGCTTACTGAAATTATTCCCTTGATCTGCACCTTAACTATCTAGGGCTGGTATCCTATTTTTCTCCATCCTGAATCCCCTCAGGGTGCATTGTTGGGGGGGGTAACTGCAGTGGCTGATTTCTTGATGGCTGAAACATCCCCTGCTGACTGATATGGCAAGTGACATTCTTCATCCACCCTATGGGCAACGATTTACAAGTACATAAAATTAAGAAAAAGATATTCTGTACTGAGTTCCTAACAAAAACTTGTATGTACCTCAATAAGTAGTTTTTAGGTATTTAACATAAACTTAATAGCAGTTTTCTGTCCTTCTGGGACAGAATAAATTGAGGACTTGGAAGTCCAAAGAGCTTTGAGATTGCAGAAGGATAGAAATTCCCAGCTGGGGAAGGAGGACATAGCAATGACTAATCATGTTTCACTCTTTTCTTTACAAGCAACCACAAGAGGCATTTCTCCTGGGACTTAGTATCCAGGTAATGGGGCTTCTTCCGAAAGTCCATTTCGTTTGTACTGTGAGGATGCCAAAGTCTAGTAAGTGACTGAATCTTCCTCTACAAGAGCCAATATTACATGTGTCTGGGCTATGCTTACCCATCTTTACTATTTTATACCCTGTCTTTTAATCCTGACTCTCTGTTTGCCTTTATTCTCTTGTCCTGTATCCATTGTTTAGAGGAGGGAATAAACACGGGGACAAATAAATAAGAATATGAGCCTCATCTTGACCTGTGTGGCCAGGAGCTTCATTGTCAGAGGTAGACACACTGGATTCTGCAAATACCAGGCTCAGTGCAAGATTTGGTGTTAGGTATAGACAGCCTAGTCACAGCGACAGCCTTCTTTTATCCTATGACAAACCGTCTTATGCCAAATCAAAGGTGTTGGCAATGTACACTAGCAGGGTGTTTTACTCAGATTCGTGACAATGTGTCCACACCTCCCACTCACCCCCCCCACCTTCCTCCTCTTACTTTCTTCCTCCTCTTCCTTTCTTCCTCCACCTTAGCATTTCACCAGAATCTGTATTTGAATAGAACTGTCTCCCGTGGCTGCAGGGAACATGCCGATATTCTCTGAGGGTGGCATTCTGATTCTTGTTTTCCCTGGCTAGAACGCATTGTTACTGGATCTATTCTTACATTACCTTGTGTCTCTGTGGAAGCATTTATTTACCACGTTCTGCAAAGTTCTTGTCTCCAAATAGATTGAAAATGACTCGTAGGCGCATCTTAGTCGTCTCTGTCATCACGGCAGGGCTTGTTCGGTGCTCTGCACAAAGTAGGACCTCAAGTATTGGAGTTGTGATTAATAATACTGTGGTGTCTAAGGAGACTTGCTGCTAAGGGGCGCGGGTAATGCCATTGTGACTATTCGGTGAATGTTAATACTTTAGCAAACCTTTTCATAAAGTTGCTTTGGTGGTGAAAAAATTCCAGACCTTTCGCCCATTACCCTACCTTTTTTTTTTCTTTTATACATCTTTCTAACTTCCAAAAGAAAAAAAAAAGTTAGAAAAAAGAAAAAGGTCAAAAGGGGCGGAGGTAGGGGAGACTAGCAGCTCAGCTCTCCTTGGGATCTTTACTTATCTACCCTAAGATCATGCATCTGAGCTGTGATCATCAGGGATCGTGGATTTACTCCGTTTGTAGATTACGTATAAATGGAAGCAGGGACTAAGAGTTTTCGAATCTACCACAAGCCTGATACCGTTTTCTCACACAATTCTGACGATTATCCTATAAGGTAGACATTGGGAAGGGACAAGAAAGAGGAAGAGAAGCAAAAGAAGGCTTGCAGGATCGCAGCTGACAAGCAGGAAGTGGAATGCATCCGATTTCAAAGCCAAGCTCCGCATCCCTGGGTGGAGCCTCCTGTTCTGGGTGTTGTGTCCCTTGGCGTTCTCGTTCCTGCACAGACACGGGCAACTCTTCACCAGAGTGACACCGTGTTGTGTCAAGGTATCCGGGAGGAGCCTGACTCCTCGCGCTGCACCCTAGATTCCTCCGCCCGGCCTCCCAGCTCTGAGCGCATGGTAGCCCAATTAGTTGGTTTCACCCCGCAGGCCACGGGCTGCGGGAACTGACTGGAAGCTCCTTGGCGCTGCCCCCCTCCCGCCCCCCGGGCCGAGGGGCTGCTATGATTGGACGTGGCTGCGCCCGGCCGGCCAATGGTGAGGCGGCGGCAGCTTCCCGGAAGTGGCGGCGCGGCCGGCGGCGGCTGGGGCTTCCGTTGCTTTCTAGGCTGCGGGCCAGTCCGGCCGGGTTGGCGGACGCAATGAGCTGCTTCGAGGGGCAGATGGCCGAGTATCCAACCATCTCCATAGACCGCTTCGACCGGGAGAACCTGAGGGCCCGCGCCTACTTCCTGTCCCACTGCCACAAAGGTGAGCGAGCGCAGCGCGCCGCCCCGTCCCGGGGAGCCGGGTTGCGCGGGTTCGGGCCCCGCAGTGAGGTCGCCCAGGGGCTGGAGGGAGGGAAGGCGGGGGTCGGGGTCCTTCAGGAGGGAGTTCAGGTTTTGGGAGGCCAGGGGAGAGACTAGCGACTCACCGTGTCCCGGCGGGCTCTTCAGCCCGTCTGACGCTTTAATTCCTCATCGGTACCGCGGGACAGAACAGCGACCCCCAGTTGTCACTGACCCAAGCCACTTTGATCAGGCACAACTATTCGATTTTTGGGGAAGTTCTCCCAAGGCCCAATAGTCAGAGGTTGGCAAGGATTACTTAGTTCTTCCCCCATATCCTCGCGATCATGTTGTAAAAACAAGTTTAGATGAAATTGTGCCATACCCGCAGACATTGATTAGCAAGCATGCACGCACTCAAATTAAACATCCTGTCTGTAAGCTCGGCGAAGTGCAAGCTCCACCTCCTTATAGATGTTCTTTTCCCCTATGAAAGGTTCATTTTGGTCTAGAGGTAGGATGCGGTTTACTTTACAGACGGCCAGGTCAGGCAACCAGAATACCAAGATTTCACAGCTGGAGGCGGTTAGGACTTAAGCTTGGAGCATCACCCCCTAATGATATGGTCCTGAGGCTAGATACTCCAGGCAAGACTGGAGCGTCTCTAAAACATTTTAGCCGGTCTCCAGAGCTGGAGCACCACTAACTTCACAACACTGTCCATTTTTAACATCTGGTATGCTGACTGACACGTCACTAACTTTACCTATGAAAACAGGTTTAATATTCATTGTGCTAATTAGCACAGCCTTGGGCATTGACCAGAGATGAAGCTTAACTGAAGCGTTCTAGAAGCTGCCTCTTGGAGTGTGGACTCCCAGAGTAGCTTAAGTAGGATGCCCCCAAGCCCTCTTTTGAGTAGTGACTCAGATACATATTCAAGTATGTATCACACGGTGTGATTTTAAAGTAAATTACAGATATCAAAACATGCCCTTCATCACACAGTTGGTGTGAAGATCAGCTGTTGTCTTGTGTGTGGAATCACTCACTTTAACCTGGTGTAAATCATTGAAATTTCTGCTTTTGGGAAATGGCTCTGCTTTCCGGTTCTAAGTCCCTAATTCTCTCTCTTTAATGACGAAAATCTGGACCTCCTCTATCAATTTGCTAAAAAAGCACATGAGCCTCTGTGAGGGTCTTTCTGCTTCTTTTTGAGGACAATATTTTTGTTTTTGTCTTGTTTCTCATTGAGAAGCCACTGGTGGAGGAGGATATTTTTACCTTTTGTGTTGAGTCTAACAGCATTTCTGAACTCACATGTGGTGGCCACAATTAAAGAATGGATTTGGGGCTTGGCCTTCATGTTTTGGAGTAGTGAGTTTGGAGAATGAGTTCATCTAGAGGAATTTGTTCATTTGTTTTTGTATTTGTGTATTTATATTATTTATTGATTCTACTTTTTAAATTGAAGTGTAATTGTGAAGGCAGCATCATTAGTTTGTACATTAAGCAAGACTCTCTCCTGTCCAGCAGTGTATACTAACTTCTCCTGTGCTCTAATCCCACGTGGGTCTGTTTTCCCAATGAGGAGGTAAACTGATCAAGGGCAAGAACTCAACTTCTGCTTTCTGAGGTTTGCCACATTACCTACTGGTGGTTTTTAACCTTTTTGGGAAACAAGACTTCTTTGGATGTGCCATGGACTGAATTGTGTCCCCCCCCAATTCATATATTGAATCCCTAACCCCCAGTGTGACTGTATTTGGAGAAAGGGCTTTTAGGAGGTGATTAAGGTTAAATGAGGTCATAGGGGTGGGGTCCTAATTTGATAGGATCGGTGGCCTTCGAAGAAGAGGAAGAGAGCTCTCTCTCTCTCCACATACACACTGAGGAGAGGCCATGTGAGCACACAGCAAGAAGGTGGCTATTTATAAGGCAGGAGAGGCCTTACCAGAAGCCAACCTTGGCACCTTGATCTTGGACTTTAGCTTCCAGAACTGTTAGAAATACATTCTGTTTAAGCTACCCTGCCTGAGCTGACTAATATAGAATATCTGACAAGGTCCATGGACTCTTGTTTAAAAAAATGCACATGAACATGTTAACATCACAGTTTGATAAAAGTTGAGGTGGGCCATGGACCCGCTTGATGCCTCTTTATGGCCCATCTGGAACCCAGTGCTGTGCTCAGGGCAGACTTGACTAAGCACCAGTGAGGCCTGGAGGACACGAGGGGACCCGTGGCCCGAGAGAGTGGCCCACCGTGGGGGAGGACCCCTTCCGGAGACCACTTAAGATGATTTATTCTGGTCAAGGAAAAGGAAAAAGGCCCTGGAAGGGAGATGCTGGGTGCAGTCCTAGCATCACAAAGGAAACTCCCCAGATTTCCTTGACTGGGGTGGTGGGCTGGGTTGTCTTGATGGGACAGGTTGCTACGCCCTGAGGTAGTTTGGAAGCCTGGAGCAGAGTCCTGAGTCAGCCTTGTGTTTGCCGTGACTCAGACTCTCTGGAAACCCCGATAAGGGAGAGTCCTGCCCTGGGATGCACTCATTGGCCCTAAAAGCATGGACCAGGAGTGACCTGAGGAGATGCACACTGTGAGGGGGCAGGTGGACTGTCCTGTGGCGGCACGTGTTTGGTCAACGTCGCCCACTTGAGGTGTGGTGACGGCCTTGTTTTCAAGATTTAAGGATTGTCACATATAAATTTGAGGGCACGTGTGTTGGTGGTAATTAGGATAATTAGATTTTCTTCTTGTGGGTTATTGTTAGGCTGTTTAACATTGTCTCCCCATCAACCCAGCTGGACTGCCTTTGCCGTTTGCCTTCATCAAGGGTGGTAACAGGCAGTGTTTACATAAATTAATCAAAATGCAAGTGAAAGTCATTTTTGGTAAATGATTTGAGGAGGAAAAGACTTTCAAAATAATCTACTTGGTTATAGTTTTTTTTTTTTAAGTAAAATTAACTTTCCAGCAGCATTTATGTATTAATCTTAAAAGAGCTGGAAAAAAGTTATATAGAGAAAATGATTTTGTATAATTAGCTTTAAACTTTTAAACTTATTATCAGTTTTTAGAAAACATATAATGAAGATTGTTAATTCATGGTGGGATAGCAGTTTTCATGGCTGAATAATATTTCATTGTGCATATATACCACATCTTCTTTATGCATTCATTCATTGATGGACACTTAGGTTGTTTCCATGTCTTGGCTATTGTAAATAATGCTTCAGTGAACCTGGGGGTGCAGATATCTTTTTGAGTTAGTGTTTTTGTTTTCTTTAAATACCCAGACATGGAATTGCTGGATCATATGATAGTTCTGTTTTTAATTTTTTGAGGAACCTCCATACTGTTTTCCATAGTGGCTGCACCAATTTACATTCCTACCAACAGTGCACAAGGGTCCCCGTTTCTCCACATCCTTTTCAACATTTGTTATTTTTCTTTTTGATAATAGCCAGTCCAATGGGTGTGAGGTGGTATCTCATTGTGGTTTTGATTTTCCTGATGATTAATGATGTGGAACACCTTTTCATGTGCCCGTTGGCCATCTGTATGTCTTGGGGGAAATGTCTATTCAGATCTGCCCATTAAAAAAATCAGATTTTTTTTTTTGCTGTTGAGTTATGACTTCTTTGTATATTTTGGATATTAGTCCCTTATCAGATACATGATTTGCAAATGTTTTCTCCTATTCAGTAGGCTTTTTCATTTCATTGATGCTTTCCTTTGCTGTGCAAAAACTTTTAAATTTGATGTCCTTTGCTTAGTTTTGCTTTTGGTGTCAGATTCAAAAGATCACCACTAAGACCTATGTCAAGGAGCTTACTGCCTATGTTTTCTTCTAGAAATTTTATGGTTTCAGATCTTAGATTCAAGTCTTTAATCTATTTTGAGTTAATTTTTGTGTATGGTATAAGATAATGGTTAGGTTTCATTCTTTGGCATGTGGCTGTCCAGTTTTCCTACCACCATTTATTGAAGATACTGTCCTTTCCCCATCATATATTCTTGGTTTCTTTATCATATATTCTCAGTAATTGACACTATATGTGTGGCCTTATTTCTGGGCTTCCTATTCTGTTCTGTTGATCTATGTGTTTTTATGCCAGTACCATACTGTTTTAATTACTATACATTTGAAACAATACATTTTGTAACCAGGGAGCATGTCTCCAGTTTTGTTTTTTCTTCAAGATTGCTTTGGCTATTTGGGGTTCTTTTGTGGTTCTATAAAAATTTTATGATTATTTGTTCTGTTTCTATGAAAAATGCCATTGGAATTTTGATATGGGTTGCACTGAACCTGTTGATTGCTTTGGGTAGTATGGACAATTTAACAGTATTGATTCTTTCAATCTATGAGCATGGAATAGCTTTATGTTTATTTGTCATCAATTTCTTTTATTAATGCTTGTAGTTTTCAATATACTGGTCTTTACTTCCTTGGTTAAATTTATTCCTACATATTTTATTCTTTTTGATGTAGCTGTGAATGGGATCGTTTTCTTAATTTCTCTTTCTGATGGTTATTTGTGTGTAGAAATGCAGCAGACTTCTGTATGTTGATATCCTGCAACTTTACTGAATTCCTTTATTCTAACAGTTTTTTGTTTTTAATAGATCTTTATTGGAGTATAATTGCTTCACAATACTGTGTTAGTTTCTGTTGCACAACAAAGAGAATCAGCCATATGCATACACACGTCCCCATGTCCCCTCCATTTTGAGCCTCCCTCCCACCCTCCCTATCCCACCCCTCTAGGTCATCGCAAAGCACCAAGCTGATCTCCCTGTGCTATGCAGCTGCTTCCCACTAGCTAACTATTTTACATTCGGTAGTGTATATATGTTGTTTTTTTTTTTTTAACTTTCGAATTTTATTTTTTTACACAGCAGGTTCTTATTAGTTATCCATTTTATACATATTAGTGTATATATGTCAATCCCAATCTCCCAATTCGGTAGTATAT